AATTAGTCCCAAACTCATATATCTCATCCTCATTATCTTAAGAGCTAATTATTAGAGTTTTTACATACAAACACAGTGTATAATAGTGTGCTATATGCTTGACTTACTCTGTTGTGTATGTATATATGTATGTATGATATACATGTACCTGTATTATGATATAAGTATGTACATGTTGTACTCAGTGTAGCCAGTACATGTATATTATTACTTATGTTTATATATTAAGTACATGTATGTGGGGTTAATTATTTATAGGTACATATTTATATCTGATAATGTGCATATACATTAACAGTAGGTTGTTTACCTTGAGTTATGTTGAGTTTAGTGTATAAAGATTAAATTGACAGGGGAAGTATCAAGTTATATGTATATGAAAGTTTAGTATGTGAATTTAAGTTTATTAAAAGGTATGTTATTCCAGTTGATTGAAGCAGTTACAATGTAGTCAGAAAATTATTCAAATCATATACATAAGGTTGTATGGATATAGGCAAATGTGAACTTTATTTTAAACTACATTTCCCTCCAGAGATGAGTTCATTTGCAAAATGTGTTTAGTCATTCAAATGGTGAAAAAAGGAGATGTATTAATTTAATAATGAGAGCTTCCTTTCAGTTTCTTTGCGTCATGGTTTTAAGTGTTTGCAGCCCCTCGAAATGGCAAACAATCGTGCAGTTTCAATGTGGTTTTCAACATTATAATCATAATGCTTAACCAGTGTCAAACATATACCGTGGGTCAGATATGCAAAACATTGACTCTTTAGCTGGTGGCACTGGGAGGGACTGCCACCCTACACCCTCCCATGCACACACATAAATATTGTTTTTTAGAGCCCGGACAGGATCTTGTTCCTCATGCAAAGTCATGGGTCACCACACCCCTGTTTTGGAAGGTTAAGAGTTTCTAACTATGCCTTGATGCAGCTTGGTGAAATAAACATCCATATTTGTATGTGGCTTAATCTGAGTCGACAAATCAAAGCATGTCTGGCATATTTTGAAATCTACTCTGTATTTATTTGAATATAGCTTGTTCAATTTACCTATCATTAAATCTATTCAAAAGAATGTAGTGATATCTTCTTTACTCTGTATAGGGTTAGCTTAGTTTTCTATTTCATACCTTTGAGGTGTTAAATTAAAATACCCAGTGTGAATTCAATGTACATACATGTACATGTACATTTATAGGCCTACAATGTTCAAAGAGGATTTTAGAAAGGCTTGAACACATAGGCCTACATGTATATACAACATTTACATGTATTATAAATTATAAAGATGAAACAGGACTATATTTTCTACCCATCTGTAATCTGTGAGAACTTCTCTGAATACATGTACTTTGATATGAACAACTACATGTACATTGTATCTGTCCATATTTCATGTACACTGTACATCAGTTCAAAAATTATTTTGACCATCAATCATACATCCTACAACATTGAGTGACAGATAAATAAGATGGGGCAAAGAACTGTTCTGGTTGGTCAAGAACGGTTCTGGAAAGTATAGATACGCTTGTAGATGCATATGTATAATACAGTTTTAAACTTTTAAAATGTACATCGACTTATGGACAGAATATACATTTATGATCACACATGACATTTGTCACTACATTTTTAATTTCAACTCACAAGTTTCTTTTTATGTGCTAAACTCAGTGAAAGATTACATTGTACACAGTAGCGTTTTATATTTGATAGAAGCTGAGTTGGAAGGGTTATGTTTACAACAGGAAATAAAATATTGACACGTCATTTCAGTAGCTAAGTTTATTATAGTTTATATGTATTTAAAGCAGTGATTGACAATCAAGTAAAATCATAGAACATGTTTCATTGACAACTGGTGATCCTCAAGTTTCTGCTCACTGCTAAAGACTACTATGCACATGCAAATTATTGAATTAAAATTGACTCTATGTTAGTGCTGAAATGACCTAGTTTGTGTTGAGTGGATGCTGTATCATATATCAGTGTTTGGTCATACATGAATTTTGAATTTTTACAATAATAACAAACCTGCAAGCGTCACTTTAAAATACAGTAGCAGCCATAGCCTATTGTTTATACAAGTGTCATCTTCATAGTACAGTAGAATAATATTGCTGTCAGTCTGTCAATCATATACAGTATACTGGTAGCTGGTACATCATGCAGATTGTAAAAGAGTTAAACAAGGACAAACATATCAATAATAACCTGTATTTTAAAAGTTTATTGTTATCTCTCGATTTTCTTTGGTTTTGAGATTTTCAAATTTCATTATGAAGTGTTTTCAGTGTCGAACTCGTAAGTGTACAATTTCTGTGGAAGAATTAGGCGCATAGTGCAATTACTTGTTAATGGACAGTATATGTATGTGTAAAGTACTTTCTGAAGAATGGAGTTCTGAAGAATTGAGTTCATTAATCGTAGGAGTTATAATGAATGTTTACATCCACAGGGTCCAGTTACTGCCAATTGATAAATAAACTAACTTGATTATGTTATTAGTTAAATCAATAACATCATCAACACACATTGTTCTGCTAGATTCCCTCTTTCACTCTTGTAATCTGTACTGAAAGGATTCTAACTGCATTTACTGGGTTTCATATGAATCTACTTTTTCCATTGGCTGAAAAGTATAAACCAAGAGGCTAAAATTGTGCACTTTTCTATCATCACCAGCAATATCTTCAACTGTGAACAAAAACTAGAGGATACACCTTATTTATCTTTAATGTCAACTAGTCTCAACTAGGTCATTTTGGGGACTAACATATGGTTCTTTTTTCAATAATTCACTTGCGCGAAGGTAGGGTCTTTAGCAGTGGGAAGAAACCAGAGAAACCCCACGAGGTTGGTCAGACAACCCTACCAGCTGGGAATCGAAAGCACGCTAATGACAGACCCTATGGTTCAAAGCGAAAGCATTAGACCATTCTTCTACCCTACTCCAGTGAGTTCATGCACTACTGCAATAAATCAATGATCAAAATAAATATAGTTACTTTCAATCATTGAAGAAAACAAATGCAATGGCATTCTTGTCGACAAATTGAATTCAGTTTCATATTTCTTTTGAAAATCTTTCACCATGCAGAAAATTCATCAATTGATTAATTCAATGGAACTGAAAATCACTATAATATGACAATCAAATAGAATTGTTAGCACCTTTTTTTCAGTCCAATTGAAAAATGAAATTCATATTCTTGTAAAAACTACAACAGAATCAATATTTCTTTTGTAAATCACATGAATGAAATGTTTTATTTTAAACGATAATATGGAATACTAACCATCTTAATTTGTATTATCTTCTACATGGAGCTCTGGTGGCATTCAGCTATACAACCAATGCTGGTTTACATATCTGCCTTTGGAATAGTGATAAGAATGACAGATAATATGAAATATTCATTTCCCAGTGGAAATCTTTTCTTTTGGAAGATCTAACCTCAATCGCAATGAGAATATTAAGTTAGTTGCCATTTAACCTTAGCATATATCTATATTTTTCATACACGCGTATCAATGTGCTCTATAATGTAGATTCTTTGAGAATGAATAACTGAGATTGATTAAAGATGGAATAAGAATATGTCATTAATGTGATGTTTTGAATAAAGAAAGTAAGAACCATACATGCATATGGTGTACATGTACAATATATGTATGATTGTTACAGAAAAGGACAATATGACATTAATCCATTAACACTTGTAAATATTGACAACTCCACTCCCACGTTCCTTGATGAAAAGTGATATACATGTATTAATATTGGGACACCCATGGACACACCAAAACAGTCTGAAACTTATGTTTCTTTGACCGCCGCAAAGTGTCTGAAATATATGAATAGCTTTTCGACCATTTACTAGTTCTTGCGAGCTGAACAGCTGTGCAAGTGAGGGGGCAGTTTGGAACAGTCCATTGAGCCCTAGTTAAGGCGGTTTGGGGTGGTCTAGGTGTTAAATGGTTGAGCAAAAATATAAAGATTTATGTCATAACATATCTCAATCATACATGTTCTAGATACAATCTACATACCTACATGTGTTGGATAGAAATTGTACATGTTACATTTAGATCAAAACAAAGCATTTAAAGGAATTGATCTAATGTCCTAAGCTTTCTATGCTTAATATTTTGTTTTAAAAGATTAAGCAGAAGAAATAGTTTGTTTACTAGTGTGATCAGTATTTAGCTTACATCTGTATTGACACTCAAAAAGTGAGTGTCATTTTAAGCTAATAACACAAATGATATGACTCTTCTTCATGTTGCTTGTATTTATAAATCTTTATTTCAGAAAATTGTATTTCAGCTGATGTATGATTGTAAATTAAATCAAGCTACATTTACATGTATTTCAAACTATCATTATCCATTTATGCCTAGCATCATAAAGCACTTACCATACTGACATGTGTAGTAGAAATAGAGATCTACATTGTACTTCAGCTACATAGATTGTAATTAAGCTAAATAGATTGTAATTCAGCTAAATAGATTGTACTTAATCAACATATATGTAGTATTGCAATTTATATACTTTGTCTAGTAAGAGTAATGTACATGTAGCTTTGTAATTCAGCTATCTAGCTTGATTACAATATATATTTATATACAAATATAGCTTTAATTTTAATAACATTGCATCATGTTTATTCACATTCTCAGTACATACAAATAGAGGAAAATGATCAAAATTAAAATGTCTGGGTAGTTAAAATCTGTTATTGTGACTTAATACTAGATCAAAAACTTAATGGGATTTGGTAAATTTGTTAATGTAACAAAAATTGTAATGAAAAATCAAAGAGGATTCCGGTTCGGTTTTTTTATCTGGAGGGTGGGGAGTATTACATGAAAATGAGAAGTGAACTAGACATGATGCCAGGGATGTAATTAATCTTCATCTTTATATAGTACTGTAGACTATAAATGTAGAGGCGTCTGTCTGATGCTAGATTTGTCTGTCAATTTCAGGGGCTTTGGTTTTGTAACATTCAGAGATATGGCTAGTGTAGACAAGGTGCTGAGTAGTGGACCTCATGTTATAGACTCAAAAACGGTTGGTAGTTTAAACAAACATAATCTTTCCTTTAATATCTTTTGATAATCTCTTCCTTTCGTACATGTAGTTATGTCTTTACTTCTGATATTTCTGGTATATCCTCTATCTACCCCCCTTTCCTGTAGATCTATATCCTTAATCCATATGAAGAAAGCCAAGAAAGTCTAGATATTTGATCAGCATACAAAAACATATCAAAATTACTAATTTTAATCTCGACCTGTATCTGCAACCTATTGGTAAAAGATCCACAATATTCTGTAAATTTCTTGATTTTTCTGGCAACTTCACCCAGCATGATACAGCTTTGAGTATTGTTAAAATATATGTTTATACGTATATCTATAGATTCTCTATGTAGGTAACTCATCCCATGTACAATATCCGTTTTCATAACTTACACAGAAACCTATGTAATATATACATGTATGAATATATTGCATGTTACAGCTAATAGTGTCTAATTAACCGATCTTTTATTTTGTTCCATGATATATTCCATTTTGAATCTTAATTTGTTTCACTTTTTAAATGTATGATAAAAAGTGTTAGGTAATTTGATAACATTGAAAGAGCCCACTGGAATTGGAAGGTGGCTGGTTTCCATTAACATGGGTCAGTGTTCAGATGTAAGTAAAGGTGTCATATAGAGGTGTTACTATATATGTAATGATAAGTATATAAGATGTAGTAATATAGTAATATAAGATGTAGATCTCATGTAGTATATTATAATAGACACATTGATAAACAGGTAGAACTTGTCTTATACCACCTTCACTATACATGTCCTACATGTCTTACATCAAGGTTACACAACACATGAGATCTACTCATGCCTATAAAACAGTATCATTAGTACATTACAAGGAGGGGCCACGGTGGTTAAGTGTGTAAGACGCTGGCTCGCTAGCATGGAGGTCGTGGATTCGCTCCCGGTGTTGGCCAAGACAGTCCGTCTGGTTTTTCCGGTGTTTGTTTCCCTTTGTCAGTGATGCAGGATGGGGGGGGGGGGATCTGACAAAGACAGCTGTCTAGTCGTTCAGATGGGATGAAAAACCGAGGTCCTGTGTACACATTGGCGTTGATGTAAAAGATTCCTTGGCAATTGGAATTGGACATAAATTCCACGGGCAAAATTTTCCTCATAGCACACTGTATGGCGTAGGCCCGTCTTCCTTAGACCAGAAGGAGCAGAACAGCAGGATGTTAAACCCATTTCATTTCATTACTGCATTACAGAAAATACTATGATCACTATCTGTTTAAACTTGGCAATTAAAACCAAAGAAATGTTTAAATCTTTATTTGATAGCATTTCTGGATAAATAAATAGGTGCCGGGGACATGCAGAAAAACGTTTAAAGCTATTGTTTAGGATCTTTTCACATGCCCAAATATTTGTTATTGTATAATATCTAAGTACATGTTTAAGATGACGATCCTATGCATATTAGTAATTACAATCTATATCTGGTGATATAGATTTTAAAATTAATCGACATTTTATGTGTAACAAATAAATGTAAATGTAGTCAATGTACATATTCTTTAGTCTTTCAGTTTCAAATGAGCATTCAAATTATAAAAATGATTGTTTGAATGAAAATATTTAAAAGCAACCTCTCTCCCACCCCCACACAAAAAAGAAATAATTCAATGATCTAAGGCCAATTAAATTACACAGTAGACATGAACTGTTCACACTCAATAGTATTCCAGCTGTGAACATGTGTTGGGTATATGATGCAATGTTATGTATAGTGGCCATTGAACAGTGAGATATTTGGGGGGTCATGAAAGGGGTCAAGTCATTAGGAGCTTTTAACACCTGTTATTCATTGTAAGTGATATGTTATGTAAAATTACCACATATTATAATCCTAACCAACACAACAATCACTTGTCACGTTACCTTCAAACAGTAGATCACTAAAATTCTGTGATTGTGTTTCTCTGGTTCACTGATCAAATATTTAAGTTTTTGACATCAAATCCTAAAACTGTCATACATCAAAATCTCTTTACATATTCAGTGACTTTATCTTATCTTAAATTTAATTCTGTTTCCCAGATTGTTTTAAAACATCCTTTACTCTTGGGTCTTAAATTTAGCAAGTTGTCATCTTCATGTGACAAATTTGTTCTTGATCCTGAAGAATTGATCAAATTGTGTCCAGTTGCATTAATTCAACAGAATCATTATTATTAAAATTCTTTTATGAATTTTTATGTTAATACCAATATGTTTTGCTTTGTGTATTGCTAGTGAACATATTTAAATAGCCAACTAGTTTCTATATTTACAATTTGAACAAACTTTTGACAAATTTTAATAATTTTTTTCCTTGATTATATTTACAGGTCGATCCTAAATTGGCATTTCCTCGTAAAGCGCAGCCTAAGGTAGGTCATCTACAGTAATATTCTTTTATTATGATTAAATTCAACAGGGTGGAAAGGAATTTGTCCAACAATCAGTCACTATACACATCAATACATGGTTCTAAAATTTAATATTTGGCTCAAAGGATTCAGTTTGTGTTGGAAAGGAATTTGATTGGCCATCAGTTGTTGTACACATCATTTCACGGTTCTCAAACCTTGTTTGGTTTGTGTTGTCATTTGGATTTTAAAATGAAAGTATGTCAATTTTTTTGCTGACTTTTCTCGTCTTAGATTTAAAGGCAAAGATGAAGTTGTCAAGTTTTATATTAAAAATGTTAGTTTTGTGTTATACATGTAGGCTACACATCCCCATTTGTTGACCAGAACAATTTTATATTTCATATTGTGATTGGTTCAGCAACTTCAGTTTAGATTTAGAGCTTAAGTTTGGTATTCATTTTAAGTGGTTAAATTTACCTCCAAGATGTCATTTCTAATTGGGTCATAATTTGGGGCAAATTTTGAAGCTACTGTAGGGAGTTGGTGTAAAATAGATGTAGAATTGACAAACATGTAGTGTCTATATAAACACTTAAGTATAGTATATGTAGGTGTTAATAAAGTAAAGTTTGTGAGATTTGTTGAACTAGTAGGTGTGGTCAATATCTTTTCTTCTTATAAAAGCAAACTAAAAAACTTTATAACTGGTTTGTGTCTGATTCCCATTGAGTCATCTTTGACCTCAGCTAGCATTAATACAAGGTCATACTACTGTATTTTATAGTCTAGAGTGCACAATTGAAAAACTTTCAGCTTCACTGGTAATTTATGTCATTGCTGAAATCAGTAAATGAAAGCTCTGACTTTGGAACTCAAGAAGACTATGAATTAAATTGTAATTCTATCTGAGAGACTTTCTGATATTGACTATATAGTTTTTGGAAAGAATCATGTATTTTCAGTTAAAACAAGTTTGTATTTTTTGCCCCGTGTATTGTATATGGAAGGATAAGTAATTGATAAGACTATTATATTCAGTGTTAAGATTTATCTATAGTTTATTTAGAGTAAGGTAATTATTTACCATGTTGGCCCTTTTCTGTCTCATATGAATCTTGGTAACTAAAATATTCAGTTCAATTATATTGTCTTATTTGTCTATTGACATTAGTGTCACCAGTTAGCAACTACTTATGTATTGGTAGATTTTACCGCTATATATAATTTTGATTACTTATGTTGATATAATACATGTATTTGTCTATTGATATTAGATTTTACCGCTATATATAATTTTGATTACTTACGTTGATATATTAAATTGGTTTATATTGCACTTCCTCATTGTAACCATATATAACGGTATGATGTAAGTACAAGGTGTGGTAATCTATGTGTTTTATTGACTTGGTTTTAAAATCCTGATTAAAAGTTGGCTAATTTAGGTATAACAGCACTTCAACTGTGACACAGAATAAATTTGTAAAAATTATTTAGAATCCTAGAAAGATAACAAATATAATGACATTAGGTAACAAAGACTCATGAATAATTGCATCTTTTTATGCCAGCATTTAGATTTTTATTTCTAAGACAAAGGCAGTAAATATTTGAGCAGAATCAAGATATTTCAGACATCTTATATAATGTCGATGTAGTTATCTAGGTCGATAAAGTATTTAGATTTTTTGCTCGGATCACAAGGTCAAATGTAGCCGATATTGGAAGCTAGACCAAACTGATTATCATTATTAAGCCATGAATAGTGACAATAGATGACAATTACGTTTGAATAGACAGCCCCCTAGTGAGTAAAATAGAATCGGAGCCGCATTTTCCAGCTGTAAGTCTTGTAACTCCTAACACAATGACATCATTACCCTTCTCATTCAAGTGGAAAATAATGTGCTCTCCTTTTTTCAGAAAAACGAGTTGCTTTTATCATTTGATCTACTTGATGCTATTTTTGGAATCTTAAGTGATGACATGGCTTGCATTGTTTTTTACGCTCAACATACAAATGGATACGAACCCTAACAAATTGAAATATTGACATCCTCACCTCAAAAAAAGCGTAGAACTTTGAAATAAATTGTAGGAAATTGCTAAAAGACAATAAACATGTGTGTTGCGGAATTAAGGAACGATTGAAGTGTAGGTGTTATAAATAGATTTAACATGTTGAAACTAAGTAATAAAAATGGTATGATAGACTGTAAAGGATTTTTTTTGTAATATCAGGCTTCAAATTGATCAATTTTATTGGTGGATATGTAGCATTGTTAGTGCTATCCACAAAAGATATTTTTATTAGTCAAGAAAGAAAACAGTCTTCAAATATAAACATAATTCTAATCGTATTGTAAGAGACCATTGCGTTCAAATAAATAACCAGTGCAGATAATTCTCGAATCCACCCACCCACCGTTCCATCAGCAACGAAGAAAATGTTGACAAATATATGGTCATGATTCAATGTTAAATAATCAACATTTAATTTATCATTTTCAACCCACCCACCCACTTTCCCCAGGTGTTAAAATTTTGCAACGGTCTCTAATAGTTCAACATACCCCCCCCCCCCCAATAAATATAGGTATTGTAGTTAATATACATCCAAATACTAGTGTTTAAAAAGATTTTGTTTGGGTTATGTATTAGTAATAAATCTTAAGAGTCAGTCTATGTCAGATTTTTATTCATCCTGTCAAATTTTGTTTGTCACCCTTCTGTTTTATCCATATATCTTCATGTTAAACTCTATGACCTAGAAAAAAATATAGGTGTCCAAAAATATAGTCAACAAAACAAAAAGCTGACAAATTTGATATTCAGAAGGTGATAAGGAGAAAGGGGTGGGGGAGCGGTGGTAGTTTAATGAATTTAGGTAGTCATACATTTTCTAATCCTCAAGTTCAGTGTTTTAATGATTGCAATGATTATGTACATTGTATGCCAAATTTTGTTAAAAACTGATTTGCATAACTTAAAGCCACTGATCACTTGTAAACTTCTATTCCATTCAATATTTACAAAAATATGATAAATAGAAAATTTCACAACATTACACATCCATTGCAGACAATAAACACAAGTCATCAGCAGCTGTAGTCTTTTAGTTCATTCCCATTTCGCCAACCAGACAGATATTTTGGACAAGAAATTAGTCAGCTTTTTAAGTGTTTGAGTGATCTTGAACAATAGATCATAAGCTGTAGGCTTAAAACTAGTTAGATATGAATTCAGGAGCATTATTTTTTTCTCCATATCAAAGAGTGCCGCAGTCGGCTGTATGGGAATTAGTAATTTTGGTTCGGTGGGCGAAATGGGAAGGCACCAGTCTTTTGATGTTTTTTTTTTTAAAAAAATACAATTCAATCCAAATATGTTTGTTTTGTTTTCTTAATTAAATGGTAAATAAACAATTTGAGCACATTTTAGCTTGAATTAAGCTATGAAAATTTAGATTCTGTTTCAAAAATAAAATCAGTCTGCGGTTTCGTTTAAAAAGAAAAGCGTATTAAACCCAATCGACAGTTGTGGTGTATTAAACTGTATTATAGAATTTAATAATATTAGTCTAGTCTGACTTTTATATCAAATTAATTATGTCAAGTCAAGTGTGAAATTGTCAATAAATATGTCTTGGTCCAATGTCAAACTTTTATTGTGTATATTTATATTACTTATCAAAGACAATAACTCTACATGTAGGTATGATAATAGGACGGGACTTTCATAATGTTTTCTACTTTTTATGGTTCAATGAATTTTGTTGTCAATATGCAAAAAATAGTGGAGAAAAAAAAAACCCCACAGCATTTCTCAGGACATTTTTATATCAATTTTATTATATTTATTTATATATTATGGTAATCCATGTTTATATATTTTGATATTTTCAATACATGTACGTTCATTTAAAGGTACATAAAAGGTCAGACTATTTATCATTTAAATGTCTACATTTTCATGGTAGAAAAAACTCTAATATCGATTTGAAGGGGTGGTCAAGTGAATTTGGACGAGTTGTTGACTATGGTTGGATGATAATCGATGATACACTCTAATTCCAAGCTCTTATTATGTAGATTTAGCTTACCTGAGGTGAACAAGGTTGATACACTTGATCAAAATTGAGCATCTATGAAAATTTAAAGGGATGGGCAGGAGAAAACAAGTGATGATAGTATCCATTCATAAGAAATATGGGATTTTAAAAATCTCCATGGAAATTGAATAAATGATGTTAGGAGCTAACATAAAGCTGCCATGACTACCCTCTCTAATTCCTCCCCAGATGTTCAAAAAAATGTTTATCATCTCTCACCAAATTTTGATGTGAAAATATTAGTGTTTATTGAACAATCCTTCCCTAGTACATTGATGAGAAAAACTAGTTATTTTTAAATGGTGTTTCAGTTGAGATTGACAGAATACAACATTAGGAGTGATGTGTTTAAGAAAGTTGAAACTTTGCACAGGTCTTGATTTTCACAAACTGCTATTTATTTCACATGGTTAGTTATATTATCCATCCATTAAGAAGAGATTTGATACTGTTATTTATTAAATGTATTCAAGCATCAAACATACTTGTATCTATTTGAACAACTAAATGGGCGCTTTATGAAAGCATGTGCACTTAGACGTATGATTTTAGAGAAAACAAAAATCTTTTTAATTAATTTTGCTTTATAATCTACAATGTTAAAAACTAGTGCCAAATGCAATTGAATGGAGTTTGTGTAGAATTAGTTTTAAACCAGGAACTAAAACATTTGTGTAATAGATTTTTCTGTAGTTGGCATGGGAATGAAAGTAGATGTAAATAAATTCTTCTCAATTGATTTCAACAATCTACATGTGATCTTTTCTTTTTCATATTAATGGTTAAAAATATTAAACTAGGATAAAGATCCATTTTACATTGAAATAAACAAACATTACCGGTATATAAAATCTTTACGTAACACCAACATCTGTTTTTTTGAAAGTTCACTTCTGCTTAAATTGTC